CATTTAATCTGATGGAGTAAAGGTCTTCACAGAGTTTCCTGTATCTGGGACCAGGTTCGATCTGTGGAGCCGTCAGCACGTATCAGTTACCTGCAGAGACTTCCTCTTCTCCTCGTCATGTTTCATTTGACTGGACATTTTCTTCACTCTTTCTTTCAGCCTACCACAACAAAAACATCAGACAGTTAAATACAGTCAGAGTAACGTTCATCAACTGTCACCCCTCTGTTCAAAAAGGTGGTGGCAGGTGATAACATTTTTGCTTGTTTTTGTTTATTAACCAGTTTATAAACCAGTGGACGAGTACTTAATGAAACACTCAAAGTATTCACTGATGTTCATCAGCATGACCTCCACCTCTAATCCACCTTAGCAAACATAAAAACAGCTCTAACTGTCAGTTTTACAAATACTGAGCTAAACTTTAGCGTGCATTAGCTGACAGTCCTACACAACAATATTTTTAAGGTTTGACCAAAACAACTCAAACTTCATGATGGTCATGAGCGGATGGTTTAAAGCATTTGCACAGTACTCTTACCGCTCCAGTTCCTTGTTGGCTCGTGTCTCTCTGTCAGTCAGAGCCTTGATGTCCTCCTGCAGGTCCCTGACCTGCTGCTGACTCCCTGCCTTCTCAGCCAGCAGTTTGCTCAGCTCCGAGCTCAGGTTCTCCTCGCTGTATCTCACATCCTCTCACGTTCAGGAGGAGGAGGAGGAGGAGGAGGAGGAGGAGGAGACAAACATCACGCATGTATTTACTTTTAATTTGTGAATAAACTTGAGCAGATGACCCATCATACCTGATGTTTTCCCTCCAACTTCTTCAGCAGCTCACAGCTGTGCCTCAGGTTGTCCCTGAGCTCTGTGATCTCCTCCCTCATGGCGTCTCTCTCGCTCTCCCACTCCGTCCTCGCTCCCCTGATGCTTTCTTTCTCCTCTTCTGCCTCCCTCTTGGTTTTCTCCAGAGCTCCCTGCAGGTCTGCTTGTCTCTGTAAGCTCTCTTCCAAGCGGCTCTGGTGACAGCACAGCAAAATATGTCACTGTTAGGGTTTATATCTCCCCACACACACACACACACACACACACCTGCAGCAGCTGAGCCCTGGGGACGACCAGCAGCAGCTCCTCGTCTCCATCCTCCCCATCCTGCTCTTCTTTCAGAGTCTCCAGCTCCTCCAGCGGTTTGGGAGCGCAGAAGGTGAAGGGACGGCTCCGAGCACAGACCGTCCCAGTCTTATCCACGTAAACAAACTGGAACTCCACGGCACTGGGCCGAGGCAGGTAGGACGCTGCGCAGAGAGAAAACATGTTCTTCACAAGCAGAAACCTAAACTGGTACAAAACATATTCATATTCAAGGCCATGAAATGATCCAGTTCAGCATGTTTGTTGGGGAGTTTCAGTCTGTAGTGTGACTCTGCTTAAACCATGATAGCTCCACCGCCGTGCTTCACAGTTAGAAACGGCTTTTAAACAGGAGGAGAGTGGATTTTATGAAGAAGTGATGCTTCTCAGCCCAGCTGTGCAGTTTGCTTCTGATGATAAACTTATCTTTAGGGATTTTTAAGTCAGACGAGCATCGTCAGCACTTTTCTGAACGTCTCCACACCAGGACACACTTTTACCAACATTTTATTCTCCATTAGTGTGACAGATTTGAGTTTAAATGTTGTGTTTGTGTTTTATTCAGATTTTTTTACACTATTGAGATCATTTTATTCTTCTGTACGTTTTTTTTTTTTTTGGCCTTTTTCTCGTTCCACAATATCTAAGCTGTTTCAGCAATTCATTTATCAAAACGTTCAGCTCATTCAGGATATCCCGGCTCTAGCTTTTGGTACTTCTGCTTTTTATATTTGTTTAGCTATTTCACTATTTTGCCATTGAAAATGAAGGGGCTATTGTCAACGTCTTTAAAATCCTTCAAATTGTTCCTAAATCTTTACTAAACCTTACAGTTTGTTCTGCTCATGCTCTTTTTAACTTCCTTGTGCTAATTTGAGCTTTTTTCTGCTATTTTAGCTATATTTTTGCTCATTTTTTTTACTGATTTTCTGCCTTTTTTGTTTCTTTCAGATTTCAAAGTTTAACTTACAATAATACTTTTGTTACTAAACATGTTAAGCTCAATTTCAGCAGCTTTCAAGGTTTTCAGCAACATGCATTCACACTAGCATTTTTGCAGGAAATGCAATTCTCTAGTTATTATTATTTTTCTGCATTGATTTCCAGGTTTCACCGGTTTTTCATTTCTAATCAGCCCACCTGCAACAAACTGGGATTTTATCTGCCTCGGTGCATATTTATATTAAATTTAAACCTTTCTTTGTTCAAATGCTTGCTGTTTGCACCCTCTGAAATGAGCTTTTGTGCTGGAAACATTAAAAGGAATTGCCACGCCCACTTTACCAGACGTTATCTGTATTTTTGGGACCACGCTGGAGTCTGTTGGGTTATTAGTTTCATCAGAGGTGCAACAGATTTCCATTCTTACCCTGGAAATTTGCACAGCAGTCCACACTGGTCCCCTCAGCGTAGCCTTCAGGGACCAGAGCCCACGTGTACGTGTGATACTGTTTGAGTGAAGTCCAGCCCATCTGTGATGCGGCACAAAAACATCAGTTTAATCCACCAAATGTGCATCTTTATTATCACCACCTCCTCGATCTACCTGAAAAATGCCAATCCAGTCGCTGCTGCTCCACTGGTGCCCCGGGGTCAGACTGTAGTGGCACTCCACCCTGGTTTGGGGGAAGTACAGTTGCCCCACGTTTCGAAACACCACCGCAGACTGGCTGTCCATTGCAACGGGAAGCTGTGCTGTTGAAGAAGAAAAACACACGTGGATCCAGTTGGTCGTGCTCCAGCCTCGTTCTGGAGGAGAGCAGCTGGTGAAAGGTGATAGCAGAGCCAGCTCGTAACACTGGCGGCCTCTGGCTCAGCGGTGGGATCAAAAACAAGGCACTCAGAAAACAAAATACATGAAWCACAGATGGAAAAATAAGCTTTAACCTCGGTATTAAACGTGTTAAAGACAAATGACTGATAGCAACGTAAAAATTAGGTTAATGAACCTCAAATTTATCACATTTTTTACTCAAGAACAGGTCATCTATAGGAAAATAAATAATTTCTTTAAGTAAGAATTTGGCAACCATAAAAATAAAACATTTATTTTAAAATATATTAACCAAACATGGTAGCTCCTTTAGCAAAGTGACCCAAATTTAAACAAGAGTGAAACTAAACTGGGAACTCTTTCATCATCTCAAACGCTTCCTCGTCTGCTTACCTGTGTGGTGGAACGGTCACCTTGTTCTGTGGAGAAATGACTGTTCTTCAGCCGCCTGGTGGGAGTTCCTGCTGAGGATGAGCCTGCAGAAAATGATGAGCAATCCTGTCAGGTGCAGGGCTTTCACAACATCCTGCTGAACCCATGTGGAACCCTGAGAGACTCCACTGAAGCCTGCTGATGAATCATGGGAGGTGGAGTTCATGAACGCACGACGTGTCGGCCGGCGAGGTGGACCTCCACACTTCAACTCCCGAAAGAGAGCAGACACGGAGCAGGGGGGTCATCTGCTGCTGCAAGTTACCTCATGTCGCAACTCACAGAGGTGGGGGGTGGGGGGGACGACGACACTGTCCTCAAGTTTCTTGGACAAACTGAGAATTAAAATCAGTAATATTAAAATAAAACATTATTTTTTTTTTTTATTGTGGAAAGGTTTTGTTTTGTGAGACAATCATTCCCAGTTGTTAATGTTAGATAAATAAGAATGATAAAGATATTAGAATTAACAACTTTCTGATTGCGCAAGAGATTTATCTCCACTCCTGAGACTCCCTTTGCTTATTTCTCCAGCAACATCTAAATGTCAGGCATCAATCATGAGCAGCGGAGAAAAATAATCGTTTTTTTTAAATTCTGCTTTTTTTTATGCTGAAGTTTTTATTTAAAAAAGGAGAGTTTTCACTCCAGCTGCATCAACCTTAAAAACAAAAACAATACACTCATATTAATAGATGACAAACAACAGACTTAAAAACAGTAACAAAGTGGAGTTTTGTGTTGCTAACATGAACTGTACTTTCTAATGGTCCACGWTGAAAAGCTACAGAACCTCAGCAAAACTGAGATAGCATGAAAAATGGAGAACAAGCTTTTATAAAAACAGAATTTCATGTAAACTATGCTAAACCCTCAATTTTAGAGCAATTTTTATAGGCGTTGTTGTGTTTTATGACCTTCACAGCTCAAATATGCATCGAAAGAGACGTAAAGAGCCGAGCTGGACACATTGGGCCTCATGCAAGAACATGTTCGTATTCTTATCCTAAATTTCTCTTACTTTTGTTCGCACAAAGGGTTCGTTCGAACATGTCACGTCAGATTCAACAAACTCTTCTATCTTCAGGAAAAGTGTGTAAATGAGCTGCGTAAATTACACCTGTTCGTATCCAGCTGCTCGTGCACGCGAGAGGAGATTAGCATAATTACCACCCCAAAAACACCATATAAGGCTATGTTTCCTGCCTCAGATACAAGGAAGTGTCCATTCATGAAAATGACAGTGAAAACTAAAAAGTAAAACTTTACGAGTTCAGAGATTGAAGTCCGTCTGTCAGAGATCCAGAAAAGAAAATCGGTCATTTTTAGCAGGTCAGCTGTGGAATAAAAGGAGCTGCTAAAAGTATAAACAACTGTGTTAAATCATTTTCATTTATTCAGAAGACACAGTGCTGCGCACCATACACCCCACACCCACCGACTCAAGTGGTCTCAGTTGCGGTTCTGAAATACGCATTTTAAAATGTTTTCAAAATAAGTGTGGCACTTTGGAGAAAACCCAGGAGTCGCTGGAGGGATTGTGTATCCCCTCTGGCCTGGAAACGTCTCAGAGTCCCCCAGAACAAGCTGGAAAGTGTCACTGGGGAGAGGGAAGTCTGGGTCTCTCTGCTGCTGCCCCCGCGACCCGATCCCGGATAAGCGGCACAAACCAGCCGGACGGACAATTTATATTGTTAGTCTAAATTATTACATTTAAAATGATAACTCTAATTCAAGCAGAATAACTTATTGTCAACATAATTATGGAGTGTGATTTATTTTCAACTCAAAATATCTTCAAACTAACAAAATATAAAGTTATTAGAGAGGAAAACCCATCTAAATAACAGCAGACTGACTGCTCATAAAATATACGACAGGTCTGGACCACTCGTGAATTTTGTTCGTATCTGAAAAAAATCGTAGAATACGAAAACATTGGTGAATGACACAAATTCTCCTAAATCACTCGTACGCACAACTTAAGAACAAATCTGTGCGTACGAACGGTTCTTGCATGAGGCCCAATCAATCTAAATGAAGGATTATTTAGATTTTATTTATTTATAGAGTTTTAAACCCACAGCATTAACTTTAGGTTTTACTAATGAAAACATCAGAACACATCCCCAGCTTCAGACAAAAGAGTGTAGAAATATAAAGAGCATGTTATGTACAGTAGTGTGGAAACATACTCATGTCTGCAGGATGTGCAGCACAGACGCACCGACTGTGTGTGTGTGTGTGTGTGTGTGTGTGTGTGTGTGTGTGTGTGTGTGTGTGTGTGTGTGTG